TTCAATCCATATTGAAGACTACAGTCCTTGAACTTTTGCAGCAAGTGCTTCAGGTCATCCTCAGTTTCAGCAAGCAAGGTTATGTCATCTGCATATTGTAGGTTGTTGATGAGTCTTCCTCCAATCTTGATGCTATACTCCTTATAAAGCCCTGATTCCTGAATGACCTGTTCTGCATAAGATTGAAAAGGCGCAGGGACAGGATGCTTCCCTCATCCACTCCTTTCTTGATTTTGAACCATGAAGTGTTACCTTGCTCTGTTCTGAGGACTACTTCTTGGTCCAAATATAGGTTTCATATAAGCACGATCAAGTGCTCTTGAGATTCCCATTTTCCTCAAGGTTAGCCACAATTTATTGTCATCCACACAGTCAAATGCCTTTGCATAGTCAATGAAACACAGGTAGACATTCTTCTGATACTTTCTGCTTTCTGCCAAGATCCATTTGACATTGGTAGTAATGTCCCTAGTGCCATGACCTCTTCTAAACCCAGCCTGTATTTCTGGTAGTTCTCTGTCAATGTACTGCCCAAGTCCTTTTCTGCATAATTTTCCGCAGGATTTTGCTAGTGTGTGATATTAGTGATATTGTTACATAATTTCCACACTCTGTCAGGTCATCTTTTTTTTAAATGGGAATAAATATGGATCTCAGTTGACCAAGTAGTTGTCCTCTAGATTTCTTGGCACAACTTGGTGAGCACATGCAGGGCAGCATCTGTTTGCTGAAATATGTCAATTGGTATTCCATCAATTCCTGAGGCTTTATTTTTTGACAAGTCCTTCAGAGAAGCCTGCACTTCCTTCTTCAACATCATTGCCTCATGTTCATACGTTGTTTCTTGAAATTCTTCTGTGTCAGCTAATTCTTTTTGGTACAATGACTGTAAACTCCTTCCAACTGCTTTTAATGCTTTTGCAATCATTAAACATCCTGCTCATAGCATCCTTAAACATTGCAACTCGTGGCTTGAATTTATTCATTTCTTTTAGTTTAAGAAATGCTGAACGAGTTTGGCCCCTTTGATTTTCTGAGTCCAGCTCCTTGCACATTTCATTATAATAATTTTACCTTGTCTTCCTGAGCAGCCCTTTTAGGGCTTAAATTATTATGTAAATTAATGAGTTAAAATTTACTGTCTGTAATTTACCTACTGGCTCTACAGAAAGCATTTAGGGAAAAGAATAGTGGGGTTAAGATGTTAGGATTTTATTAAATTCAGCCACTATCCATGTTAAATAGACTAAGAGTACATATAGGTCTTATATTCCTTAAGTATATAGCATAGGCTGAGAATACATACATGATTTCTATGTTTCCTCGCAAGGCATGAGTTAAAAATCTATTTGAGCAATTGCCAAATATTTCTCCATTAATACCAGAGGAATGTATATCTGTGTTTCATTGACTATGCAAAGGTGCTTGACTGTGGATCATAACAAACTGTGGCTGACTCTGAGAAGAATGGGAATCCCAGAACACTTGATCATTTTAATGTGAAACCTATACTTGGACCAGGAGGCAGTCATCAGAACAGAGCAAGGGAA